ATCCCCGCTCTGGCAACAAAGGAATGTGTCTATGGATACAAGTGACTCCGACCCCTAGGCCCACTTGGCCCCCAGGAGGCATTCCAGATGATGATTGGACCTGGTGGGTTAAGGTACAGAATGGTTCATTAGTTCCTAGGTATACATTGTCTCTCTGGGAGCGCATAAGGCGTGGGTTCCCAGGGCCCTCTGGGCTCCCTCCCGACACCCCAGACCAAAGCGAATACTTTTGTTCCTCATACAGCAAATGGTTCAAAGGAACAATTAAGAAGTCACGTCGCTGTAAATGTTCCACTTGAGGTGTTGAGAGCTAGATGACCTTTCATGAAAATAGCGAAGCAAATGCCTTATAGACAAACGTAGACACATAACGAAAGCAGTATGAAGAAATTAATCAAGAAGCAAAAAGGCAGGAGGGAGCGTTACAAAGAAAGAACCATGAGGTGCCTGAATGGGCGATTTCGCAAAGGAACGTTTTTAGAATCAGGTAACGCCGAGAAACATAGATGAGGCACGCTACAAGGAAATTGCTAGCAAACATAATGCCACGTTTGCCACAATAAAGCGGCCGTCTGACACGCTGCTGTCCTCTGTGTCCCCCACGGGGCCCAGGCGCAGGAGGCAGAGTGAAAGATAAAGGGTTGCTGAGCGAATGAGACACGAGTGGGGGTGATGGCACAGGCCCTCCCTCCAGGGCTTGGGGAAAGCCCAGAGAGGTCACAGACACGGAGCACGAGGGAGAAGTCGGAGTCCAGGGAGGTCCCTCGGCCTGGGGCGGCCAGCAAGCTTCCTGGAGGCTGGGGAGGGTCTCCAGTAGGACCTGGAAGGACCGTGTTCCGGGGGGTCGGGGGCACCGGGGGGTGTGTGGCTAGCTACGGGACTAGTCCCAGAGGCTCTAGGCAAAGCAGCCCGGCACAGAAGACAGGCGGGCCCAGGCAGGGGGTCGGGGGGCTGGGGGTGGAGACCAGGCTCCGAAGGCCTCACCTGTGAGGGAACGGCCCTCATTCTCCAAATTGCTGTGGAAGCAGGTGCTGGCGTTTGAGATCAGGACACACCCTGGACAGTCCCCTCCGGGATCAGGGCGTGCCCGGCTCTGGGCCAGCCTCCTGGTGGCCTTGGTGCCAACCATCCAGGTGGCTCCGGTCGGAAGACGGGCTGAGCCAAGAGCCGCGGTAACCGACTCCGGGGCAGCGAAACCCCGGGGCCCTCCCGCCGCATCTCCCGGGGGCTCAGAGCCCTGGGTTCGAATGCGGCCGGCTCCCGGCTGGGCCTCCTTGGGGAAGCCCTTCCCCACCCAGATCGCCAGAGGGGTCGGACACGACAGTAATGTATCCTCTGGCTGCCTTCAACCCAGCGGTCCGGGCAGGGAGAGGCAGAGAGGCCCGGGGCCAGGAGCCCAGGGACACAGTGCCAGCCCCGGGCAGGCCCTCGGGCAGCTGAGCACACCTCCATTCCTCCCTGGATACGGGGAGATCAACAGTTGCTCAGAGCCGCTCCAAAGGAGGGGAGGCCTGTGTGCCTCTTAGTAAACAGCAGAGTGCTACAGACACACGTTTATTTTTAACAGGATTTAAACGGCGCTCTCTTCCTCCAGCTTGGAACCGGGAGGCAGTGCCCGCGGTCCCCTTGCATCCGGCACAGCCGATGCAGCCGATCTCAGAAAAGATAATTACCAAGTACCAGGAATCAACAGGAGCTGGAAAGCGGGTCCTCGCCCAGCCGGCCACCAGCTCCGTTCCCTGTCACCCTTGCCAGCCTCGGGGCCAGGGCTGCGACTGTCCTCGGATGCCAGGAGCTGGGAGACGAGGCCGCAGAGAGGTTGAGCAACCCGCCCTTGGGGCCAGGCCAGGCCAGGCCAGACGCTAGGTCAAGGATCCCGAAGTGTGCTTCTAGCAAGCACTGCACCGGGGAGGCCGCCAAGGTCAGGGCCATTCCACTGGAGTCAGGAGGAAGGGACACGCAGAGGAGAAATGCATCCAGGGAGGAAAGCGCTGGGCCCCGCAGGGGGGGCGGGAGGGACCCGGCCAATCACAGGGCCCCTGCCGCGATGTGCGTCCCTTGCATTAATGGATTGTTACAAACGTGCAATTCGACCCGGCATGAGGAAGCGACACTCAGCGGTCCTCCTGCCCCGGCCCGCACCGGGTGAGACACCTGCCCGCCCCAGGTGCCCTCAAGTGCTGAGCCGGGCAGCCCCCGCCTGCGTGCCCTCTGACCCCTGCTCCCAGCCCCGCCTGGCTGTGCTCTGGTGTTGAGGTGCGGTCTGCCCTCTGAAGGCAGGGTGGGTTGGGGGTGTCGCCCGGAGCGTCACCACCACCCTGTCAGGAAATAAACACCGCTCGCTGCTCAGCGCCTGGCTCTCCTCCAAGGCGCTCCGACGGCTGACCTCATTTGGAACCAATTTCGGCGTCTTAATAAGCCCTTTGGCTTTCCGCATCCGTCTGAACTGTCATCTTCGCGTGTAATCCCCCATTGCCTGTGCCACGTGAGGCCGGCTCCGGCTGGCTCCCCAGTGCCCAGATCGTAGCAAGTGGGGGGCACCCGAGCCCGGTGGGTGGCCTTAAGACACATAGGCCCGACCGGGCCGCTCCCCAGCGGCTGCAGGCTCTGCCCCTTGCGTGGGAGCTCTTGGCGCCAGGAAAATCCAGCAATCTAGCTGAGGGAAGCAGGACACAGGGCTGTGAAGGGCGGCCGGGGGCTGCACACAGACCAGGCCCACGTCCAGGGGGCCACCACACCCCTCTCTGGTCCTAAGCAGCTTCGGGCCACCACACCCTATGTCAACCATCACCAGCTGCTGCAGAAATCCGGGGGGATTTGCCCCCTCTGACTTGCCCCAGCTCCTTAAACCACAGCCAAGAAAACACGACTCAGGCCCCAGGGTCAGAGGGGCCCCGCCCCGCAGCCCCCTGCC